GGTAGCGTTAGAGATGGCGTAAGTTGGCAAAAGCCAACCGAACCTTTTGTATCCGTGCAGAGATTCCGTCGGTAAATGACCCAACTTCTCAGGTAAGTGAAGCGTTCAACGGGCTCAACCACTTCACTCCCTATTGTTAGTCAGGTTAACGGTGAGGATCGGTCCTGGAGCAATGATTTGCATTTCGGTCGTGAGAAACACATCCCAAATATTCTTTAATTACCACTCGAGGTGTCCAGAAAACTGCATCTTATCGGCGTTATCACTTAAAAGGACTATGTCATCTGCATATTCTAGGTCTACCAAAAACTCCTCTGTGATCAGGTCAATCCTCGTATGGTTAGATGACGAGAGCGAAACCTCTATAAGAACGTCAGTAGTAAAATTGAATAGGAATAGAGAGAGTTGGTATCCCTGATGGACACCACTAGACGTGCACAACTCACCCGACACCTCGCCATAGGCTCTGACACACCCACAGTTGTTCGAACAAAGAGCCTTTAATAAAGTAAGGTACTTCATTGATACCCCCTTTCAATGACAGACACTGTTTCCTCGTCCGTTTTGATTGGACAACAAGTGACACGGAGTGGGGAAGAAGGGGTGGAAAATAACAGCTAAAAAAAATTATAACCGTTGACCAAATGTATTTCAAACTTCCAGGTACTGCTGCTTTGCATCGTTTCAGGTTCGACACAGCCCTCTCAAATTGGATGAGAGGTGGAGGATCGACGTATATGTCCCATTTCTGTTCAGGCTGGATGTTCGGCGATTTGAGCATTACTGGGGATCAGTTGAACTGTGCTTCAGAGTGTTCTACCCAACGTTCTAACCATCTATCCTGGAAGGTAATCAATGTCCCATCCTTTTCGGTGATAATTTCACCAAACACCGACTTCTTGCCGGTATCCTTAATAGACTTAAATAGTTGGCGGGTGTTAGGTGAATGCAGTACAACTTCCCAAGCCTACACCCATGTAACATTTGTCGATAGAGGTAAACGGTAAATGAGCATGTATAATCCCCAAGGACCCGAATAAATGACGTTTTGTAAAACAAAGGTAAAAAAGAGTGAATAGTGGACATCCTTGACGGACACTCAGCACAGGCTCTGACACAAAAACCAGTGTTCGCACATAGAGCTTTCAAAACAGTGAGATACCTACTCGACACAGTTCAACACAGGTCAACTGGCCCTCAGCAATGTTCAAATTGTCTAACATCAGGCCTGAACAGAAATGGGACATATGTGTCGATCCTCCACCTCTCATCCAATTTGAGAAGGCTGTGTCGAACCTAAAACGATGCAAAGTAGCAGGACCTGACAGTTTACCACCCGGTGTTCTCAAGGATAGAGGTAGGAATTGATGATTAGAGTGACGAAGATACAACGTAGTGCAGAGGAATCAAAGGTAGTGTAGTCAGATCGGTCTACTTCACTGACGATCTCAGTTTATAAGAGAGAGAAGTCCTTCTGTGACAACCACAGGGGAATTAGTTTGACTAGCATCGTGTCCAGGATCCAAGGGTCTACAATCATCCGACACCTGGAGCTCGAGAACGATAAACTCGAGAAAACTAAGCAGGTTTCAGACATGGACGAGACTGCACCGATCAGATTTTCACCCTGCGACAGATTCCGGAAAGCAATCATACCTATCGGTGGCCGACACTTTCCACATTTCTTGACCTGGGGGCGGCGTCCAACTCCATGAAGCGTGAGGTGTTGTGGCACTGTTCGACTGTGAAGGGAGTATCGAGCAAGTATTTAGCGCTAATCAAAGCTTTCTACTCCAAATCACGTAGTCGCGTAAGGACTTATGGAAAGGCGTCATCTAATTATAGATACACAGAAGGATAAGACTTTAGTTACTTCTGACTTCTCCCTAGACGGTATTCAAGATTCGATTGGATTGAAAGCAACCGAAGACTAGCCGAAGGGTAATTGAGCTATCCCTCAAAATTTTTGCTCATCGTTCCAGTTTTCCCGCCTGTATATGAGTCACAAACCCATCTCTGTCGCCTTCCGTCGAATACACCAACAAATTTTTCTCCTGGTTCCTGGGATTTGTCGAAATAACTGTCTGCCATCACTTATCACCGCTTTCTTCACCTCTTCAGCGTCTGCCATCCACCAATGTTTGTGACTATTGAGCAAATTCTTCGTCAGCCAAGATGGGTGCTCCTGCTTCTTACTTAGCTCCGAGTAAGCAGGAATGAGTTTACGTGCACGCAATCACACAGAAGGAGCTGCTGAAATCCTTTGGCCGTTTATAACCTTTCTTGAGTCAGTTATAAACCTCATCACCATTCCTAAAACAAATCAGAGATGCTTCAGGTTTCTTAAAGATGAGTGACGCTGTCCGGTTCCGATAACCATCTAGTCAGTTTTCCACTGAAAGCAGCCTTAGTATCCCCACCATCGAGCTGCGCTCTGGACGATTTTACAACTGCTGTTTTTTCATGTCCATTTGAGCACAGACCCATCAGTTAAAACAAACGCATGATCACTTTCCAAACACACGCTTCAGAAGCAGCTACATTCCAATTCCGACCCATTCCAGAAATAACTGATAAGGATATGGTCTGCATTCACTTTTGAGTAGTGATCGGTGGATGCCGCATCCTACATCAAGTCCGGATAAAATATTTTGTGAAGTCATGACTAGTTCAAGTATGAAGCCCTAAATACCCGTTTTTCAAAGAAGTTAGTTATTTTTGACATATTTTTAACACCTACTAATCAAAAAGTGCAGTCACTTTTTGAAATGGAGGTTCAGTCATGAGTTTAACATTATGTTTAAGAATACAAAACTTAGTTTGACCAGATAACACCCAAGTAAACACAACGTATTTGCGGCGCTAGTTGTTATCGACTGTATGCTATGGCAAAATTGACTCAATGTTACTCAAACAAACATTAAAAGCCTCGGAAGGCTTTGTAACGCTTTCATTTTACGAGTTTAAGTAATATGAAATCCCATTCCTAAGACCTAAAAGATTATCATGACAGAAGTTAATAGTGCAGGGATACAAAAAAGGTTAGAATTCACATAAGAAAGTTGCACACTCTCAAATGTTGGCAATCAACCTGAAGACAATAAAAACCAAAAATTACGCTATCCTTTGACTCAACAGATGTAAAAGAAATACCTGAAATTGAACAACTGAGCAATGACATTCGGAATACCCTTGTCATTTTGATACCACGTTCATCTTATTGTATACTAGGTTTCAAATGACATACTTTTCTAACGACAATATCCCGGTTGACCTCGCCTTTCATTGACTTGGTGCATTACGCAATCAAACGGCATTAACTGGAATCAAATGTGACACTAAATGAAGCATTTCAGCTGCGGGACGTGAAAGTCAACAATGGGCTAGCATAGAGAGGAAGTAATATCTAAACGCCCAACATCAATAGTGCACGTACAAGAAACTGGTAGTTTTTTAACTGTCCAGTTTAGTTCCTGAATGTAAATATTTTCATCCACATCATTTTTCGGAATGTAATCCAGACGTGAAGCATTCCCACTAGGCCTCCCACGCCACTTTTTCGAGAAATCGGCTGTCTCAAATGTATATATCAGCCCACGACTGACTGGTGCTGTTTCACCTCCATCTCGAAGTAAATCGACGGTGCATTGAAGTCTCCGGTGACGATAACTGAGACGTAGTTCGCAGATGTTCCGGTCAGGATTGGTCAGGAGTATTAGGCAGATGGATATGGTGCGATGGAGCGGGAAGTATAAGTATAGGCAGTCCAGAAGTTGACTTAGAGCTGCATCACTCAGCACTCTTGACACTAGACGGGACCTTACACAGAAGGCCAATCCACCTCCCTTTCTAAGTTCTGTCCCTGTAGGAGAGTTCCACACCCGCCAAAAGTATGCATTTGTCAGAAATATCCAACAAAAGCCTATCTGTTACATTCAACATGTCTCTGATCAAGTCGTTTTCTCTATCTTCCTTCTTAGCCCTCCAAAATTGCTGTACTTACATGTTTGAGAGCACTGGATGATGATAAGAGTCTGGCCGTGTTCCTTTATTATAGAAGTGTTATGGTTGAGTTCTGGTCTCCATTCCGCAGTTCTTGCAGGACTACTGCCATTCCACATTTTGGAGTCTCGAGTTTAGTATGCGAGAGGACCACGGTAAGAGTCTATGACACCTGACTCACCAACAATAACTACTGCCGCCAGAGATCTTGGCGTCTGCTACCTATTTTCTTGCACGGCAGATTTTGGCTTACTCTCCTGCAGCTATGTTGAGCTTACTACGTAATGCAACCACACGCATGCTTGCGCAGCAGGCATTGAGGCACACTTACTGTGTAAGGGATAACTGTGCTATCTGGTCGCGCAGATCTGGGTGGGCGGGGCGCGATCTGAATACCTGACTTATCAATTTAAAGTCAGGTACATGAGCAACAGCCCCGCTTGCATCTCTTATACAATCTTTTACTAACTAGATAACAAGTGGTCCAGAGGTAGGAGTGGACTGGACCCGGAAGTCTGACAACGCTGTTCGCCTGTAGATTGAGACCAACTTAATCTGCTAGCAACTTTCACTGTTTTACGTCGTGGAAACACCACTCTTTAGCAGAATGATTGCTTGGCGGTCCTGGGATCCCGTAAACAACTATTATGGCAACACATCAGCATTAAATACAATAAAAGATATGGTCTTGCTAGTTTTTGTGTTTGCCACAGGGAAAATAAATGTCTTTTGACATGTCTAGCAAACAGCTTTCGTTTTCTCTCGCTACTACGAAAATGTCTGGAATAAAAATTGTTATAACATTACGGATGTTGCTAAATAACCCAACGAAAGTTTAGAAGCGCAATAGTTTGCAGCTAGAATGCCTTAAACGAAATCTACTGAAGTCAGGTTAAAGACCTTTTTTGGTCATAAAGCCATTAGGCTGGTATGAAAAAATCTTAAGCGAAAACCCCAAAAGGTAGAAATGGGCACAGAAAAATCCCTGGGTAACGTACATGTCAAAAATTCCGCTCTCAGCCAATGGTGTCCAATATGTTTTCGTGATTTCGGATAAAGCAAATTAGTGTTTTGCGGTTGCATTCAGGTCTTACCAAACATCAACACGTCCAAGAGGGACTCTGAAGTGGCAGATTCACTCAATCGCCCGCTTCAGCTCTGAAATAACCAACGGGTGTTTGGGTTTTGATTAAATTTGAAAGGATTTTATGACTTTTCCGAAGACTCCGGTGCAGATAGGGTCCTTGGATGTTATGTCAGTAGAGGTTTTTCCAAAGGTCTTTGTTAATTTTAGCGGTTTAAAACGGTTGGCAAATGAGTAGAAAATATCTTCACCTGGCTGGAAACGACTCCTAACATCCAGCATCCAACATCAACCTCAATAGTGCCAGTAGAAGAAACTTGTAGTTTTTGAGCTCTCGCTTTTGGGTCTTGAGGCTTAGTTCTTTTTGTTCAGTCGTTCTCCTTCGATGGTGGCAGAAGTCTTTGCGTTTCCTGCTTGTAGCTTTGGTGGTTTGTTATTATTTATAATTTATCCCATGGGTTCCTTATGGAACATAGGGCTTCAGTGTATCTGTTCTCTGCAAACTTTTGAACCTGGCTCCACGGCTACCCGTAAGCTCTTATTTCTTCTTCCACTAGACGGTCTGGTTTGGCGCCTGATATTCTTTGAGAATTTGTCCTGGTGCGAACTTGACAGACTCAAAGACCAATCACCAATTATTCGGACTTGTTATATACCCACGAATACGAGACCAAGGGAGAACACGATAGCGTAGTCGGATAGAATAGGATATTTGGATGGTTGTGCTAAGATACCCATGTGTTCCAACTAACTGGCTAGAGAGTCGGATACGAGAAGTGCAACGTAACACGACAGCGTGCCAAATATCGAGGATGCTTGACCGGGTGCCTTCAGCGTAGTGAGTCCAGTTAAACTATCAAGGTCAGCATCAATGTCGAGAGTCGTCGAACCCTAGCCTATTGATTTTGGGGGAGTGTGTGACGCTACATTCCCAGTCGGCCTTCTCAGTGTATGCCCAATCCATCTCCACTTCCTTCTGCATATTTCTTTAGCGATAGGTTCTTGGTTGGTCCGTTGCCAGATTTCCCTGTTGCTTATTCTTTCTGGCCATCCAATCTTCGGTAACGAGCCAGCGCAGGCAATTGTTGATGAATGTCTGTAGTTTGTTGGAAATGCCTTTCGTAGAGCGCCTAGTCTCTAAGCCGCCACATAGAAGCACTGACTTGACGTTGCTGAGTGCAGATCCCCACACTGGTTTCAGGTTAATGAACGCCTTTCTTGCTTTTCCGATCTTGGCTTTGACGCCCTCTTCTGTGCCGCTGCCTGTAGTTGAAACAGTGCTGCCTAGATAGGTGAAGAGGCTACCTCCTTTAAGTTTCTTCCGTTATTGGTGATTGAAGGTTGCTGTTGTTGGTTGGATATCTTCATCACTTCTGTCTTCTGTACGTTCACTTGAAGTCCCGTCTTCGCTGCCACTTCTGCCAGCCTGTTAGCTTTCGCCTGTAGATCTTCGTGTGACATTAGGCACAAGTCATTTGCGAAATCTAAATCTTCTAGGTTCTTTTCTGCGGTCCAGCGTATCCCCCTCTTCTTGCTCCTCACCGTTTGTTGCATGATCCAGTCCACTACAAGCAGGAATATCATGGATGGTAGTAGACAGCCTTGTCTTACTCCTGTCCAAACTTCAAAAGCATCACTGAGCTCCCCATTGTGAACTACTTGGCATGTGGCGTCTTCATATAGTTTTCGAATGAGCTTGATATAGGTTTGTGGTATTCCGAAGTGCTGAAGCAACTGCCTGCCAAATTACTTCTCGGTCGACGCTGTCAAAGGCCTTCTCAAAGTCGATGAAGTTGAGGTGGAGATCCAGTTGACTGCCATTCTATTCCCTGTTCTATGATGATTCGAAGCGTTGAAATTCGATGAGCGCATGATCTGTATTAACAGAAGCCAACCAGCCTGTTCCGGTCGTAGTTTTGAATCCAGCACATTTTTAGTCTTTGCGGGATGATGCGGCATAATATTTTGCTTTGGGTGGACAGGTATGGAGCACGATTCCGGGCCAGTTCTTGCAAACACTTAGGTCACCCTTCTCTAGGGGTTTGACAAGGTAGCCCCTTTTCCAATCAATCCCCAGGTACCCTCCCTTCCTTCCAGACCCTCTGCAATAGTGGTGTGAGCATGTCCGCTGTTGTCTGTTGTCTGCGTCTGCTTTCAGTGCTTCTGGCGAGATTCTTTCCGGTCCTGCTGCTTTCCAGCATTTCAGAAGCTCTATGGCACTCGGGACTTCGACTTCTGTTGGAGGGCTTGTGTCCACTGGTAGGCTGCAGGTGGTACTACTGGACAAAGTGCGGGTGGTGGTGATGGTCAATTCAAGAGCTTTCCGAAGTGGTCAGCCCATCGTTTCTTTTGTTTCTCTCCTTTGGTAATTAAATTTCCGTCATCATCTTTTATTGGTTTCATCTGTGTTGGTCTCTTCCCTACCAGATAATTACCTGCTTATTTGATACAATGTTGTCAGGTCTCTGTCTCTCCTACCTGCAGCCTGTTCTGCTTCACATGCCAGTGTGTCATGGAAGTGTCTTTTTTCATTGCTCGCAGTCTTCTTCACTTCTTTGTCCAGTGTTTTGTACGTTGCACGCAGTTCCCCTTCTCGCTGTGCACCCTTGCACCGGTTTATCTTCTGCTTCACCATCCTCCTCTCCCCACCCTGCCACCTTCTATGTGTCCGTCGAGACCCATTCCTCGTTCCATCTTCTTTCTTCTTCCTTCCTAATACGGTTATGCAGGTTTCTTTCCACATAACTTTCAAAGAGTTCCAGTGTTCGTCTGCACATGTTTTTTCAGGGATGTTGCTCGACATCTCCAACTTTGTCTTGATGGTTGACATGGAGATTTCCTTTTTAGTTTCGTCATTCGGTTTCTGTTCCGTGCGTTGGACTTGAACTGTCGTCTATCACCAATTTCTTTGAAGGCTTCCAACTTGATTTGGAGGGTTCCTTGCGCTGGAAGGTGGTCTGAGCCTAAGTCTGCCCCCTTCTCGACTTTGTACCAAGTAGACCGCGTCTCCACCTTCTTGAGATTGAGATAAAGTCGATCTGATTTCTAGTGTGTCCTGCTGTCCGGTGAACTCCGTGTCGCTCTGTGGATGTCCTTATGCTTGGACACAGTGCCTGACTCCAATCACCAAATCGTTGAATGCACAGAATTCTACAAACGATTTTCCATTCTCGTTCATTTTACCAAGTGCTTCTCAACCTGTGATTAGTTCTCTTCCCGTGTTGTCCCCTCTCAGTTTCGCATTCGTGTCGCCCATTAGAATTTTGATGTCACCAACTGGGGCCTTGTCCATTGCTGATTGCCGTTGCCTGTAAAATTCCTCCTTCTCCTCTTCGTCTCCATTATTTGTAGGTGCGTAGCATTGTATGATTGTGACGTTCCTTCCCTTTGGGTTGAAACCTGCTGTTATGATCCTGAAGGAGACTGGTTCCCACTGCATGAGAGCCTTCGATGCTCTTGGGGTCATAGTGATGGCCAGTTCCTCCGTACGCTTGTGGTTATCGTCTGGGTGACAATGTCGGAGTAGATTATCGATTCTCCAGCTGACAGTTTAGTGAGTTTTATTTTTATATTTATTTTTTATATTTTGTTTGTGCCTTGAAGTTTCTGTGGTGACAGAAACAGGGTGAGTGGGGAATGAGAAAAAGAGAAGTGAAAAGTACTTCCGAAAGGATAAATGTGACTGGTAATAATACAGAGGAGAGGTGCGTCTTACTGCAGATACTAGGGTTGGGGAATAGGAGGCGAATATAGAGATGGAAGGGCTTATCATAGGTTGCAACTAACAAATGTTCGTGGTAGGGCATTTGTGCTCATATACTCATCCAGTAGTCGTTTGAAGGGGTTGACTGATGTAGCTGTGGCCACTTCTTTCGGCAGCGCGTTCCATAAGGCACACACTCTATAGGAGAAGTTATACCTCACTGTAGTCACTGTCCTATGGTGGGGTATGAGAGTGAGGTTCCCACGGGACTGTCGGTTTTGGACAGATAGTGTCGTCCTGTTTGGGTGGTCCACTTGATGAATGACCTTGTAGGCTGTTATCAGATCACCTCGTTTTCTTTGATAGCTTAGCGCGAACAAGTTGAGTTGTCTGAGGCGTTGCGCACATGTTTTGCCTGTTAGTCCGGCAACCAACTTTGTTGCTGTTCTTTGCGCCTTCTTGAGAGAATTTGCGTCCCTCTTTAGTGGTGGAGGGGCTATCGTGTAAAGCACCTCTAGGTGTGGCCTAACGTAGGTTTTGAATACCATGAGGAATAACTCTGGGGTTAAAAACCCAAGTTGCCTTCTCAGAAAGTGCATAATGGCGTTCAGATTGCTGTCATTTCCTTGTAACTACAAGCAGCATCCAGTGTGTCAGAAAAGTTTAGTCTAAGGTCCTTCTCTATGGATACCCCAGTGGTTGCACGCCTGCTAAGAGTGCAGATGGTTTTCATCGCCTCTGCAGTGCACAGATGCATAGCCTTGCACTTTTGCAGATTAAAACTCGAACCGTTTGCAGCTGACCTGGGCTCCAGCTGCAACAGGTCGTTCTGGTGTATCCCAGGATCCTATTCGTTGCCTATCGTCCTCCACGTTTTGAAGTAATCGGCGAATAATACAGATGAGGATATTTCGGTGGGTATTTCGTTTTTGTGTGGTAAAAATATGCGCAGTCCAGTTGCGCCTTATGCTCTGCAGTACAAAGAGGAGGCCCATACACCACTCCTACAAGGTATTCGGCTTGGTTTATAGTGAAATAGCTCCATAAGGAATCTGGTAGTATGCTGAGCACACCATTAGTCGTTTCCTTGACTTTCAGATGAGTGCTAGTATATATGGTAACTCTTCCGCCTTCGTTGAACTGCCTGTCCTTTCAGAACAGAGTCATGTTAGGCAAACATTTTCTTATCCACTATGTCTTCTGACAGCCATGTCTCTGTGAGGAGGATTATGTCCGCT